CCTCTCTCTCTGCGTGATCCTCTCACTAATTAGAATTCCTGCGTAACCTAGCATGGTACACTTCAGTGTTTTATCCCACACAATACGAGCCCATTTAACTTTGGCCTCCGTTTAGACGTAACTGGTCGCGGTCAAGTCAGTTTTGGGGGTCGCCCTTTTGAGAAATAACCGATCGTCCAGCCGCCCGGAAGCCGCAACATTTCCTCCCTAGTGGACCGAGTTGAGAGTTGAACTCTCAAATATTGCCAGCATTTGAGAGAAAAATGAGAGATTGTTTAGAGTTGGAGCCATATTGAATTCTATGGCAATTACTAAACGCTAAATTTTCCGAAAGAGTTTAGAGTTGAGTTTTTAACACTCAATTTATAATGTTTATGAACTTTTTATGGCGGGGCGGGGTGACCGACATTATTTTTCCAATTCTAAACTTTCCCACAGAGTTTAGAATTGAGTTTTTAAGACTCAATTTATAATGTTTATGAACTTTTTATGGTGGGGAGGAGGGATGCTCTTTCGGAAAGTTTAGAGTTGAGAGAACAATGTTGCTCATTCCTCCCTGCCATAAAAAGTGCATAAACATTATCAATTGAGTGTTAATAACTCAACTGTAAACTCTTTCGGAAAATTTAGAGTTTAGGAATTGCTATAGAATCCAATATAGCCCCAAGTCTAAACAATCTCTCAACTTTCTCTCAAATGCTAGAAATTTCAAAGTCTTACCGAACTCTAAACCAACTCTCAACTTGGTCCGTTAGGACTCACATCAATTTCACCGTGTGTTGACAGAAAAATGAAAAAAAAATTGAATTTTGGCAGAAAAGGTTGTAAGAGTTCATCCCGGGTCAATACCGCGGGATAATTCCCTAACTAGTCTGGTGGTCACCTCTATCGTTCACGATCGGTCGCCAGCCAGGTTTTCATGGAAAACCTGACGAAAACTAGCCGCGGAGGAGTTCGTCGACTCCACGGATTTTCGGTGGCGGGTCTCACAATGCCGGGCCAGCATCAGCATGACACGGTAGAGTGGGCGAGGTTCACCAAGGTCTGAGTAACTCCGGTTACCGACATTAGCCGCAGTTGCGGCGTCGTAACGCGAGACTATTGGGGGAACGTACTCCCCAGGTCTTTCGCGGGGGGATGTGACCAATCTTCACATGTTTTCCATTCTCCTCCAGTCTGGCTTGACCCCGATCGAGACACAGATTATCTGTGAATCCTTCTCACCCCGCAGGGCGCTAAACATCTCAAGGCAAGGGCGACATTGGCATCCGGAGATCTTTCTCTCACCCACTTTATGTCCACCCCAACTCGAGGATGCTTAGTAATAGCAATCTCATTGCGAGCCAAACCCAGAACTACTTCTGACGGAGGCACGTGCGATGGGGCCTACGGGAATCGACTCGATTTCCAACCCTAGATCTACCCCAGCACCATGAATTTCACCCTGGGGATGGGCCTCTGTGGCCGAAAACGTTCGTTCCGCAGCCACAAGGCAATTCATTTCACTAGTCGGGTCGTGTGAATGTCCCCATCTCTGGCTATCTCAATCTAGGATTGGGAACACGTACCCATCATAACCCCGAGAGGTTATTGCCACCAACTAGTGTCGAGCTCTTAAAGCATCCGCTCGACAGCAGCACTCAACGTCCACTGCCTCGAGATCTCCCAGGGCCTTCTTCCTCTAGTCTGAACCTTTCAGCGTGTGTGGGTCATCCGTTACCCTACAGCCACCAAGCAGTTCGACGGGATCACGAGGATGCTAGTCTTTTCACCTAGCCGTTGGTCCCTGGTCTAAATCGACGGTGCCCGTCAGAACCACCCAGTTGGAACGCGTGTACGTCGGCCCGGGACTCCCTAACACAGCTGGGTGGATTTCTGAAATAGGTGACAGCCATCGTCAGCGTCATCCTAGTCTTCCGAAACGTGGTCTCACCCTACCACATTTCTTCCCACTAGCTGATTGGTCTCCCTTACTTTTGGAGTGGCCCGATTGGCTGTTGTCCGATACCCGATTCATCTTGCGCTCGGCTCGTTCAACCGACGTTAGATGTCGCTCCTTATTACTAGTGACTTCTCTAGTACTTTTTACTAGTAACGAGAAAATCTCAGTACAAGGTGTATAACATCAGCAATTCAACTAGGAACATGATAAAGTTTGTAACCATTACAGTTATATGCGTCCTAGGACAATTTAAGTGAGGAGTTTTAACCCCGACAGCAGAGGTGGGCAAGCTCAGGTAGGCTCAGAGTTATGGCCTAGTTCAGGAACTCTGATGCTATGAGGGCTCTGTAAGGTGTTTCGATCTGGGTGGGAGGGAGCTTTTCTTTGCTGCAGGTTGAGAAGCCAGTCCATACTGCTATGGAGCCGAGCTTTCCGCACCAAAAACAATGAGGACTGGACTCAGTACAAACTTCTACAGAGGGTGTAGAAAAATTACATCAAGAGATCAAAAGAATCCGCTTGTGAGGAGCTGGAGACACTACTGCAGGTTGCTAGGCTCTGCAATTACGCTGCCCACTAGCACAGGTCTCACTCAGGCAGAAGACATGCTGGAATACCTAATCCACGTGCACTTCCCCGACTCAATCATACAGAGTGAGGGAGTACACCCTAAGTAGGGTCGTCTGAATTGTTCAGGTTCCAATCGGAAGCTGGCTTCGAAAATGATGACGTTGGACAGGCTACAATGGGCGGCGGGTCATTAGAAATGTAGAACAGTCCGAAAACTGATGGGGTATACCCGGCTTTTTTACAAAAGGGGGACCCTTGCTACTGAGCAGGTTGGTAGCAGCATGATGAACATTCTTACCTCTCAGACATGTGTCAGGGAGATGGAGGGAAGCTGTGTTTATGCCTAAACCGGGTAAGTACAGCTATGACAACGCCAATGCGTACCAAGCCATCAGCTTGAGCACTTTCTTGCTGAAAACACTGGAGAGGGTACATTGATGGGTGCATTAAGGAAGTAGTGCTGAAGATAAATCCTATCCTCCTCA